AGAAGTGTACAAAAGGGAAATGAAAAAAAATTTTTACCCTTGGTTACTTCCTATGAATTCATAATCATAATTTGAGAGAACCTGACTGACTGAAAATCAAAAGTCTTAAAGCTTAAAGTGAATATTATTTTTGAAATGGAGTACTTTAGGAGCATTTGGATGCTTTAAATAACTGTGTACGTGTTGGATGTCACCATTTCTTGTATTATTAATAAAAGTAGCATCTTTGCATCTTCCGATTCTAATTATTTCTCTAAATATCTCCAGGAAATAGAAGCACAAAATAGCCAGAGTTGAATAATACTGAGTAAGCATCTTCTGGAGAACGTGCCTGTGAGATGAGTCATGCTCACGTTTACAGCTGGACATGGATCTACAAATCATAAAATAAGTACAAATTACAGAATTGCTAACTGTGATAGTTACCGTGAGATCCAGATATGAGTCAGTACCATCTTGCTACGTGAGCATCTCCACTAATCTCCTTACACATTTCTCTATGTTGGATCATATTCCTTACTCTATAATCATAATATAACCGATAGAACACCACAATCAGTTATCCAGTTGTATTTTAGAGGTGTGGCAGACTGCCTTGGTGGAAACACTGCAGTAATGAGACGAATTGTTTTGGTGTTATTTCTCAGAAGATGGGAGTTATGTAAAGCACTGAGTTGTCAGGAGAAACCACCAGACAGTCTCTGTGAAGGAGCATTTGTTACATGCAATGCCTGCTACGTTTACACCCATGTATTGTTGTTTAGCATTTCTCTTTAGAAATTAAAACCTTTTCAACTGTATCGAGGTATGAGACAGAAGGAAATGGACTCCTTCACTTGCTAATTATATTGAGGAACTGTATGATTAACCTTGTGGAGGAAAGAAGATAGTGCTGGTACATGGCAAAGCGCTGGTAGAACTAACTGTGGATCTTGGGTTTTCAATGGAAGCCACCCTTCTTGGCTATTGATTTGTTTTAAAATCTTTTTTAATATTCTCATGAAAATGTCAGATGTTTTCCAGAGTCTGGGATATAGAGGCTTGATTTATTAGAAAAGGTCAAGAATGTGAATTTTTCCAACTACATTTTTTCCCAGTGAATGTGAATGAATGGATCACTGTAGCCAGTGAATTGAAAGAGCACAGTTCTACATGTAGTTGCAGTATCAGAGGCCCTTTTTCTTCAGCCTTCAGAAAGAAATTATTTGGGTGTTATTTATGCTCAAAAGATTCCCCATCCGCCCCCCCTCCCCCCCAAGCTTTTTCCAGTCTGTAGCTGAAAGCTGTGAAAATCTCCATTTTTCGTGTAAGAAAAGAAAGAGTCATAGAACCACAGGATGGCCTGGGTTGAAAAGGACCACAATGCTCATCCAGTTCCAACCCCCTGCTATGTGCAGGTCGCCAACCAGCAGACCAGGCTGCCCAGAGTCACATCCAGCCTGGCTTTGAATGCCTCCAGGGATGGGGCATCCACAGCCTCCTTGGGCAACCTGTACCAGTGTGTAGGATAGGGAAGAGCTCATCCAAAATAATAATAAATTTAAAAATTGAGGTTTTAACACAAACCTGAGATGTGACAGTTGTCTAGCCTTGAGTTTGGACTCAGGGATGTTGATGCACTTATCATTAAAACCAGATTTCCAAAAAGATGTTTTAAAACAAACAAACAAAAAAAAAGCCCCAACAACTCAGAGTGTTTAAAAATAAAAAAAAAAAAAAGTGAAAAAAAAAAAAATCTGTTTTTAGGTACAAGTAATCATTTTCTTAAGAGTCGTTTTGTATCAGTTTATTCATTCTGTCAGGGGCAAACGGTCCTAATAGGTAGTGAATAGTTATGGTCATTAACAAAATAGATCTCTGCCAATGTTGTTAACAATGCTACGTGTGCTGTTCTGACTGGTGAAGGCATACCTGCTGGATGGAGCTAGCTGTATGGAACAGCTACAGCACTAGCTGACCAGGCAGCATCTTATTAAATCAACAGAAATGATTCGAAAACCTTAAGCAACAGAGCATGCTTACGCTCAGTGCCCACCCTGTCAGCATCATTTGGTGCTAACTGTTGGCTTCTGGTAGCAGTCATGAAGGGTAAAGGTGGCAACAGCACAGAGGCTGAACCACCCCTGCATTTCAAAAGCAGCATCCCGAGGCAGGATTCAGGCACCTGGTCCGTGTACTGACTTTGCCACATGTGAATGTCTGCTCTCAGCCTACTGGCAAAATAGCAGAAGTGCAGTTGGTTTTTCTTTGGAAAGAGCAACCTGTCTTGTTGAAATAGGTTTGAGAGAAACAATTAAGTGGTGCTGGGTTGGGACAGGCTGAGTGCTCCCTTCTGTGAGCACCGTGCATTGCAATTGAATTGCACAAGGCACCAGTAGATTTGATGTGCTGGTTTCACCTTACCCTGAGGAAGACCCTGTTACTGTGTGAGGAAGAAAGGGACCAGAAAACAGCAGCTAAAGCCAAGGGGAAGATCCATCAAAAGCAGGTCACTCAGCAGCTGCAGTGCCAGCAGGTGTGACATCACCCCTGGGTGTGTGAAAAGGAGCTTTCTGAAAACTGTGACACCTGAGAGCTTCAGTATGTAGAGCAGGAGCTGAAGGGAGGAGAACTGTCTGAATCCTCACCTGGAGCAAGTGGCCCATCAAAAGAGAAGGTGGCAAAGCCCACTTTGAGCAGGAGGTGGAGGTGGTGATATCTCCTTTAGTCTAGCATCACACTAGGACATTTCTGATGCAGGGTTGTTACTGCAGAGGCTATGCTGCAGCAGCAAGGCCCTGGCTGCTGAGAGGAGTGAAGGCAGCTCTGAAACTGGAGAAGCCCTGTGCAGCATCGAGGGCACCATGTATGAACCACAGCAAGCAGACAGCGTGGGAACTGCTTCCCTTCTCTTCCCAAGAACTGGGGCTGCATAAGCACAAGGCACAGAAGTGCCTTAGGATGAATTTGGTTGGATTGCTGGCCACTAGGCTGAGGCTTTTGGTCTCTGGCTTGCAATCCTGAGCCTTGTGACACAACTAGTTAGGAATTACAAGCTGATATCATGTTATCTTTATCATGTGTCTTATGTTCAAAGCTGAATCGCAGTGTAACATTGACTTCTGGGCAATGATCTCTGAGTAGAATAAACAGTTTGTGACCTATCATCTGTGGCTTGTACATGGAGAAAACTATGAGAGGTATTTCCTACTGGAAATAAATTTTTCTTTCAAGACAAAGGCACGATCACTCGAAAGGCACTGCATGATTGCAGTGTGGTCACAGGGAGGTTAGATGCAATTGGTTTTGTCTTGCTCTTGCCAGTGACGTTTTTTATGGTATCATCTTATCTCTGATTTCTTTTACAACACATGTGCTCTAAGTATATTCTTGAAACCCAGAGGAAAAAAATCACATTGACGTATAAATGTTATCAAATGATCTCTGACAAATTATTAATTCCTGGGTAGCAATTGAAACTGTGTAATAATTTAGGTTGACTGGGAACTTTGAAGGCCATCTGATATAAACCTTTACGGAAAGCAGCGTTGCTTTTTTCTCCTCTTGGGTGAAACAGACTGTAGTATCTGCCTAATGCTTTCCCAAATGTTGAGTTGTAATCACACGTTCTCTATTGGCAGTCACGTAGGAGGTTCTGAAGCATCAGAGCCTTCTGAAATAAATATCTACCAGCACCAGAAATAAATATCCCACTATCCCTTGTGGAAGTTACAGAGGGCTGAGCTCTTTCTGCATGACCTCTGCAAGGCTGTTGGTAGTGCTGGCATTTGGGTAACGCATGGAGACTGCTGTCATACTCTGGAGTTGGAATGGCTTATTTAAGGACTACATATAATCAGTGTATTTACTCCAAGGTGATCAGCAGGAGAATACAAGTATGGGGCTTGTTTGCTATGAACAATTAAACTCACCTAAGCATCTTCAGAGTGTTTTGAAACCACAGTGCACTCCAGAGCATCACCACATCTGGTTGGGTGAATTCCTCTTCATCTTTGCCATTGATTAAAACATTTTCCTACTCCTGTTTTTGAATAGGTTTGGAGTTAAAGGGAGGTGTGGCTTAATTTAGTAATCTTTTCTCACATTTGTGACCCCAATCAGAATTCAGGTTCTGACTGGTGAATGGGAAGGTTGTGTAGTTAGTTGTTTCTATTGAGCTACAGGGTGGAATTCCCTCCTTAGAATCTATTCTTTATTTGCCGTAGCAATATCAGTACTAAACCAGATATAGCATCTATTTACAGTGATAGTGTACACAGTACTCTGCTTTTTTTTCTGGTGGATTTTTTTTTTTTTTTTTCTTAAGCAATTAGGATTTCCCTTGGATCCTACTTGTTTCACAAGAACATCTCCCCTCATATTTTCTTCATGCACTTCAACTTTCACGTATACCTGAATTTGACAGCTTGAACCTGGGGAGTTCAGGTCATTACAGATCATGAAGTTTGTTTGACCCATTCTAGTCACTTGTTATGTTTTTCTCAAGATGCTCTCTTCAGTCAAGAAAGACAGGAAGCACTGAGGGTTTTTGCTTCTGTATGTCAATAGAATACTTCCGAATTTGTTTTTTGTAGTTGTTGCAAAGAGATTGTTTCAAGAGGGATAATAAGTAAAAAATAGTGGTCAACTGTTTATCTTCCTGAAGCCCTCTTAATAGGTAAAGGCATGAAATGTTGATGTATATTTCTGTGTGAATGATAGATAACAGAAAGAACCAGTGGTTGTACTTTCCATGCTGAATTGTATTTTTGAAAGAAAAATCTCTAGAACTGAAGAAAACAATGTGATTTGCCATAACAGAAGCTTCAATATTTTTTACTTTTCTCTACCTCTGAAAGTATGACATGGATTGGAAGATGTGGTGCATTTTTTGTTTGCTCATAATTCCTGTTTTCTTGTGCAAAAATAGTGCACCTGCTCTTTTATCTTCTTTTTTTTTTTTTATTTTTTATTTCAAATTAAAATTTATTTTTTTTTTTTTTTTTTTTTTCCCAATTAAGAACTGGCCTGCAATTGTACTGAACCAAGAAAGGATCTCTTTTTGGTGACTATTTCCACAGAAGCACAAAATGAGATATGACTGTCACGGTCAGTGGAAAAATGTTTGGTGGTGTTTGGTTGTGATAAAGCTATAAATAAGCTAATTTACATGATGATTTATTCATGTTCAATTACAATGGTTTATTTATTTATTTATTTATTTATTCTTCTTGAGTCCTTGCAACCTTAAGGGCTGATGGGATATTTTGTAAGTCCTGCTGAAAACAGATAGCAGTTCAAAGGGAGAAAATAAATATAGAGTCGCATTTCCTGAAATATAACTCTGAAAGAATTCAGGCACCATTCCAGGACCATCTTACAGAAATGTGTCTCTTCAGATATTATCACAATATTTCGCTGGGAGTAGTGTGAATACAAAAACAAGCTTTTTGAGTAATGCCACAGCTCAAACGAAGGGTGATGTAATATACTACACTTTATAAATCGATCTAGGTTCAAATGTTCAGGAATGATTTATCTGATGGTGGCAGGCATCAATCTATTCCTTCCTTGGAGCAAAGTTTATTGAAAGTGTGAGCATTGCATTGTTCAATCTGTACAATTAAGAAAAGACTGAACCTCATTATTAAGACTGCACTGATAAGGAAACAATAATAACTGGAAAGATATCTACTTATTGGTACCTGTAGAGCTGCTGCTATCCTTTTGGTGATTCACAGTGGAATGTGTGGGGTGCTTTATGTGTGTTGGTTACTCTGAAAGTGTGGTTACAAACTCTGTTACACACAAATTACCTTTCGTTATTTTTTTGCTGTCTTTTATCTATAAAGACCAGAAACTGTGGTCACAGCACTCACAGGTGTACTAGCTGATGTTCTCTTGTGTTTCTTTCCTCCTGTAAGTAGTATTGATAGTTTACCTTTCAAGGCTCTTTACTTCTGTGCTGTGCAAAATGACACAGATAGTTATTGTTAGTAAAGGTGACGTGCTGGTAGCAGTAGGAAACCTTAAATAAGCTTACTGATGCATGTGTTTTCTGTGATTTTTTTGATGCATTTCTTCTAAAAAGCATCAATTTTGTAAAAACAGTATGAATTACAGAACTGTTATGGGCAAAGAGTAGAAAGAAGTGCAGGCGCAAGCATGTGCGGAGAGGCTGCAGCACAGAGCAGAGCTCCACATGAAGCTGATATCTTCTCCATCAACCCAGACCTGTAGGAGGACCCTGGGAGCAAGCTGGGGCTGCCAGTGTATCAGATAGCAAGTTACTTTAGCAAACATTCCTTTTAAAAGCCACAGTAACTGACCCAGGGCAGTAATCCTGCAACTAGGCTTCAACTGACCAAGTGCATTCTTCTTACGTGCCCACAGCAGTATTCTCCTGGGGTTCCTTTTCTTTCATCACGGCTTCTTGGTGATGAAGGGTTGGATGCCCAGACAGTGCTCTCTTAATTTCCAGTTTTCTCAGAGAGCATTTTAATGTTTGTAGCTCAGATTTTGAAGGAAAGACAGATTTTGGAATGACTCCTGCAGCAGCCGTTAAGAGGAGAGCACTGGTGTGGCTGCAGTAGGCAACCACAGGCTGAGTCAGTACCGTATTTATTTTTCCACTCTGATTGATAAGAGCTTGAATCAAGGTATTCAAAGTTCAAATCATTCAAATCGTTCTACACACTAATACTGTAGTTGGCACTCGGGAGTCTGCAAGAGAGTTTAAAGGAGAGTGTGTCATCTTCATTTCACATGGAAATGAAGTGCCCACAAGATGATATAGTTGTGCAGGGAGATTTGTCATGCAGAGAGGGTAAACAAATCTTAAGAACAAGGCAAAAAACAGCTTATATTAATGGGCAGAGCAATGCAAAACATCATGGCACTGAGCCTCGCGGTGACAATGATATTAAAGAAGCTCAGATGAGCTGCAAGATGCATGAGGCTCCTGGTTAATGAATGACAGCACTAATACCTCAAGGTGTAAAGGGCATAAGTGTGTGTTTTAGGTGAATGTGTAAGAACTGTACCAGGTTTTGGAGCTGCTTCTAATAAATTCTAGCTATTGTACAGAATTCCAAACCCCATCCAGGAGCTTGGGGCCATGCTCTCCAACCACCCTCTGGGACAGAACCTTTTCCAACCCCCACCTGACCCTCCCCTGATGCAGCTCCATTACCTGAGCATTTATTACATTTTGCTGCCCTATCTGTATATGCCGTTGTACAACAGTTGTATGTCCAGTTTTACATGAGTAAGTGTACCAGATGGCTTTGTGATAATCTTATTAGGAATAAATAATACAGGGTGAATGTTGTTAGGGGCTATCTAGGTGTGTATATATAATTTATGAAAATGCATAGTAGAGTATATGTAGAGACAACATCAGAATTCATGAAAAACCACTTTTATCTAATCAGAAGAGTAATCAGAAACCATCTGTAATTTTTGTATATATACATATATTATTGCCAGTCACTTTGAAGAGCTGCTATGAAATGGTTTCATCAGCTAATCAAATTACGCCATGCCATGATATGTATATTAGAGTATACATCTTCTTGCCTCCAAATTCTTGAAAACAAATGTGTTGAGAACATGATGTGCAGGGATACATGCAGGTTTTCATGTATGCTTAATTCTGACTTAGCTAATTAGACCTTATATTCTCACCTTCAAGTGTCATTATGCGAATGAAAGTGACCTATAATTACTGTGGAAGGCAGCAACACAGCAGCTGGGGACACGTGCTAGAGGTTTGCACTAGTGAAAAAGGTATGATAAACAACATTTCTATTACACATTTCTATTTTCCAGCTCATTATATGGAGCTTCAATAAGCCAATGTGGATATTGCAACAAAATATTAATAGTTGCTCTTTTGTATGTTACTAGTTTTTCGTTGTTTTAAGTGGAAACCAGTAACTCCTACTCATTCTCTTTTTTTTTTTCCTTTTTCCTTTTTTTTTTTTTTTTTTTTTTTTTAGATTTTTATTATAGAGTTAATATAGTTTAAATATATACAGCTTTGGCACATTAGCATGCTGACTATTAAACCGTAGTGTCAAGATGGATATATATTCTGGTCTAGTTCCAAATTAATTTCAACGGGTGCAAGAATGCATATAATTAGTGTTGGATACCAAGAATAGGCAGAAAATGAAAAAGTAGCACTTTTATTAACTCTCTGGAATTATTTAAACTGCTTGTGAAAACAGTAGCAATTTTGTTAACTCAAAGGTACGCTACTGTAGCTAAAATTTGCCCTGCCATCTGGTGCATGAGCACACAAGTAGGCATGAATAGGCCCTACTTGTGGTGTTGCCAGCCTCGCCTGTTCTAAAGCAGGCATGGAACTTGTATCCACGTGGGAAAGTCTCTACCATTATGTCAAAGCCTGTCAGCCACACTTCTTGTGACGAGATGGGATTGATAATGCTTTTCCAGTTCTGCCCTCTCCAAAAATTTACAGCGTACCTTTTATGGTTGTGACTTAACCCAAGATTTTTGTTTTGTGTTATTTTTAAAGATATAAGGCTCTAGTTAGCTGTCAGATCAACGTATCTGAATATGCATGCACGTTTTCAGGAGAGATCTGTAAGTGCTCAGAAGGTGAAATGGGTTTCACCTTAGGGGCGGTTGGGACAGGCAGCTGATGGGGCAAGGCCAGGAAGCAGCATGGCTCTGTTGACCTCTGTCAAAGCCTTTGGATTTGCTCACAGGTCTGAAAACAGGAAACTCCTGGTCAGATAGTTTCTACTAGGATATATCCTTCAGAAATCCCAGCACACAGATCTCTAGTTTGAAGGGTCTCTGCACCCTGATGCTGCAGGAGATGCTGGTGGAGCATTTTGTGCAGGCTGACAGGAGGACAGAGGCAGCAAATGCCCAAAGAAAGATACTGGTGCTCCAGAGGAATTGTGATGGCAGTATGAAAAAATTCGTTGGAAAGAGAATAACTTGGAAGATCTTATGCATTCGGCCTGTTGGGCTCCCTTCTGTTATTTTAACTCCATCAATCACATCTCACAGAAAAAAAAAACAAAACTTGGAAGCCTCTACTTTTAAAAGACTTTGTAAAAGTTTGGGATGCTTTGAAGAAATAGAGCAGAGGTTTGGCTGATTACAGCAGCGATAAGTACTGAAGGCCTTGGGTGGCTGCTGCCATGACAGCTGTATGTACTGCTTTGTCAAGACCTAAAATAACTCAGCTATGATTGTACTCACTTCTGCTGAGTAGAAAACCAATAAAACATGTAGTGATTTTATTTCCTGGCCCAGACTTACAGGTTGCCATCTATTCAGTGAAACAGTTTACAGTTTGTTTGCAGTTAGAATATTTTCCTTCCTTACATAGAAAAAAAAAAAAGACAGAATTTGCTGTCAATTTTTACACTTTATTGCTGTCTTGTGTTATTGCCTCTTTTTTGGCTCAATAGCAGCCATTATAGGGGTGTAAAGGGAAAACGGTGACTTTTAAAGCACACACTGCATGCATTGGGCTTTCCTTTTAAGAGTTTATTCTCTCAGTTCCAAAATAGGTGTCATAGTTTGTTCCTTATTGACTAAGATCCCAACCTACGTTAGATAACATTTGTTCTGATTGTCTATCTGCGCTCTTTCATTTCCAGTGCAATAAGCAAGCAAAGAAATCTGAAAGATTATATTTCTGTGAGGAAGGAAGGTACCTAGACTACTTGAATATTTGACTAAGTGGGTAGTAGAACTGATAATGTGCCGTTGCAGGGCTGTCAATGGAGGCACACACCAACTTACTGGCCATGTAGGCGTGAGTGTCTGATAGCTTTGCTGTCAGCCAAGCTAGGTGCAATTTGAGTATCGTATGCTGACAATAATTTAACAGTAGGAGCAATATTGCTTGATGTTGTGTATCAAGTGTAAATTGAAATGAGCGAAATTCTTCTGTTATTTAAAAAGAAAGCAAATGAGATCTTAGCTCCCAGTTCTTTTAATATAATTTCCTTCCATGTCAAATTCGAGCTCCATGTCCCAGAGCATTGTGGAAGCAGGATAAACCAAGAGGAGGCTGAAAACGTTTGATAATACATTACAAAGAGATAAAAGGTACTAGAAAA